TGAAAGACCCCCGGGTGCTAGTATGTAATAAATCAATAAAGAAAATTGTGCTACAGATTCGATGGATGGATTTGAACTGTCCTGTGCTCATAATTGAACCGATTTACAAGCTGCCTAGGGTAAATGACGGCTACGGCAATAGCTTAACCTATTATTGTCATGAGGGTAAACAAAGTCCTTCGGCGCTCAATTTTGGTTAAACGATGCTCGGAAACTTGATGTGTCCTCATACTAAATAGGTACGCTCAAAGAATTCATTGACCCCCTGTCGATAATTGGTATTGACGAAGCTGAAAGTAACTCTCATCTGAATGTATAATTCTGTCAAGTTCTTCTAAAAGAAGAACTTAGATAATGCATTTATTTAAACTATCAGTTTTGATCTCACAACTATTGACTGCATGGGGAACAAGATATTAAAAAAAAATGTCTGATGAGTTCAACATTTAAAAAAACAATATTGATTTAAGAAGCAAAAAAGAGGAAAAAAAAAAGTAGAAGGGTCTGTGCTTAGGGGCACGAACGGAAGGTTGACGTAGGACCGCTAGTGTACGGAACAAATATGTTGATCATTTAATTCTTAACTCTCCGTTTTTGAATTGGTGACCATTAAAAGGGCCGGTTGTTTTACAAATGGTGACCACACCAGTGCAACTCGATGCCAACCGGATGACGGCGGCCTAGCCATGCTGCCTATCGCAGGAAGCCTTTCCTCCGGTCGATGGGAGTGTTTTCGTCGTCGTCCGTCGTCTTCGTATTGGTGCGATGCGTGCTGTTACACTCATACGTCGTGTTCGACGCTTATCCGTCCGTTGCTCGAAAGCAAGTGACGAAGAAAACACTGGCAAGCGTTTTTATTATCGGTGCTTTTCTCCTCCCTTCCTTTCATTGGTGAAAATGTGAGCGATCAACCGAGCATTAAGCTCGCTCATGTGATCATGGTCAATGTGTTCGATTTGTGCTCTATCGTTGCGTCCGTGTTTGGGATTTTTCGTTACATGTCTGAGGTTTGATTTTTTCAATGTGACCCCCAGTATAGAAATTAAAGACGTAGTCCTACGTCAAAAGTAGAAGGGTCTGTGCCTAGGGGCACGAATGGAAGCTTGACGTAGGACCGCAAATATGTTAGCCTTTAGTTCTTTTAATTGATCGATAATCTATTATCTAAACTCTTTCCGTTTTTTTATTGGTAGCCCTGAAAAGGGTCGTTTGTTTGATGGTTGTTGGTCCTGAAAGGGGCCTTTTGATTTTCAAATGGTGGCTCTGAAAAGGACCGTTTGTTGTTTTTTTTTTCTGGTGTCCATTGAAAGGGTTGTTGGAGTTGGATGGTACCGAACGAATAGGTATTAATCGTTGTTGCCTTTTGGCGCTCCTTTTATTTTGGCGCTATTTGTTGATATTGCTGTTATATTTGCTTCAGTGGATGGAGAACTAACACGAAATGCATAAACGTGCTACCAATTGACGCCCGCGGGAAGGCTTAGAGCAGGATGATTTACGCAAGTTTATTCTCTCACGGCGACTCAATGACCCAAAGCTGATGGTGATTTTCCGAACACTGCTATTTGCACTGATTGATGATTCTTTGCTGTTATTTCTCTCCATTTCAACAATATTTCAATTTGTTTAACCTGTTTTATGCACCATCTTAAAAGAAATTCTATAGCGTATAAATATAGTGGCACTAAAAAAGGCCATTTTAGATCCCAGATATTTACATGCCGGTACTTTCAGGATGGCGTGCTTACACCATTTCGGGATGGCGTGCATACACCATTACACACCTGTTGAGTAAAAAAACAATTGAAATTGTGCAGGTGATCAATGTTGTAGTCAGCCTAACGGAACGACTCCAGTGGAACGTCCGAAAGATGGTGAAGCTACTCAGAGAGCTCCGATGTCCACCCAAGCAACACAATTCGTCATAAACAGGTTTACATAACTTATTTATGACAATGTCAGCGGTAAACATTTACGTCTAGTCACTTATATACAACTTATTTATACCAAAAAAGCGCAAGAGGTGGGATCTATACATAACATATGCTTGACTTGCGCAACTTATTTATGACTATAACGCAACCTACTGTATTGGACATGTTGTAAAAACTGAGATTCCGTACTGCAAACATTTATGCGGTTGCAAATTTATGGTAAATCTATACATTCTACTTCTAAAAAACTCATTGGCTTTTATAAAAAGCTTAATACAAAAAATTGAATTGCATAAAAAATCCTGGATAAAATTCACCAACTTTGCACAAAACAAAAACAAATAGAATATCAACTTTCTTTTTTTCATTATCTTACTTCTCTCTTTTACAAAACGTACATGTGATGTTGAAAGCACAAATTAAATGTTTTTTTTTTCATTCTATACATTGCTTCATTGGTCAGCCATATTGTAGTGCAGTTTGCAGAATGCATTGAGAAATTTCATAATTGTTATCAAAACATTTTTAAAATACGAAAAACAAGAACATTACTTGTATCGTATATTGAAGTTATAATTAGGTATGGCAACTCTCAATTGCCTATTTATAACACTTTTATAACTGATTGTTTTTGATGAAAACTTGCTCGGCTTATATATAACATGTTTTCATATGTCATTTTTGGAAACATGAGTACAACTGAAATATATCTTATTAATAACATATTATCAATAAGTTATATCTCAGATGTATTCATGTTTCTAATAATGACATATGAAAACATGTTGTACATAAGGCTAGCCAGTTTTCACCAAATACAATCAGTTATAAATGTGTTATTAACTGGTGATTGAGACATTCGATATCAAATTATAACTTCAACATAACAAGTGCTTGTCAGAAAGGTTGAATACTTCACAAACAACAATACAACGCTTCTAAAGCAGGATGTTTTAAAAGCAATGAATATAAAACTTATTTACAACTGAATTTTTTTTTATTTTTCATGCAAGATGTTGCAAGTGTTACTTGGGCACGTCCTTCAGGGTCGTACCAAATTGGTGGTGACCATCTCCGTCGCAAATGAAACCTCCATTTTGGATCGAAGCGAACAAACTGGTGTACTTGGGTGCAGGGTGTCACAACATCAGCTTCAATCGACCAAATCGATGCGACGAAGAGACTACTGGCTTTCTTTTTCTGTTAAAGTCGAACAGCTTCGCAGCATTCTAGAACCTCAGTCGGCGTGCACAAACAAATGTTCAATCGCTTGTCTCTCTTTCACCCGTCGCTCCATTGGTCTTCCTTTCAAGCTTCGTCGAAACGGATGAGCGAAAGAGCGCTCGACTTTGATAGTTTTCTCTTTCATGAAACACATCAACAGAGGTTTCATGACGTATATGACGGAAAATGAAATAACACATTTAATGCATTTCTCACGTCAAAACACTTGAAGATTACACGTCATATTTCTAATTTATCTTCCATCCATATATTTATCTAAAAAAAATGATCTAAAACGGGACATAACGTATTTTAAACAAATTGAAAGACCGGTGATAGAGTGTTCGTGAAAGGGGATTGAAAGCCATAATGAGGTTCGTTTAACTAGAAAATCGACGTTAGTTACATTGAAAGCGATGAGCAAAGCAACGACGAGAAGTTCCACAGCCAGCCTTTCCTTCTAAGCGTCCTGCTTTTTTATTTTCGTTTCTTGCTGATAGTCTAGCTAGGCGTTATAGAAATGAAGCGTCGAACACGTATGTATGAGATAAACAAAACACGAGTTCATTTTAGAGCTTCGAAATTGTAGAGCCCTGCTCTGGAGACACCCAACTTGGGTGTCTCCAGAGACAGCGTGCTCAGTTGACTTTCCTGGCAGCAGCATAACGCAGGTGATCATTGTAGTCAAACTCAGTTGCGAACGTTCGACGGATGTCGTTGCCGTTGGTAATGCTTCTGATTTCGATGTTCGTGTCCACTTTCTGGGTCTTTCAAATTAATTGTGACGACTGTCCCTTCTTCTTCTCTTCTTATTCGCTTTTTAAGCTTATTGCTTAGCGCATATTAGCTTATTGCGTGCTCTCAACTTAGTGTTCTAAATGCACTTCCAGAGTTATTAATTGAGAGCTTACGATGCCAATATACCAATACATGAATTTGTATATTATGTGGCAAGCACAATGATACTCTATGTCCAGGGAAGTCGAGAAAATTTCCAACCCGAAAGATTCCCTCGACCGGACCGGGAATCGAACCCGCCGCCTCCGGCTTGGTAATACCGTGCCTTTACTGACTAGGCTATGAGGCCCCCTTGCCCCCGACGACTGTCCCTACAGCGAATGAAATTGCAACTGATAACATTCATTTTTTTTTTTACTTTAAATGATCCATATTTCTTGAATTTGTGTGGTTTACACGTATAACTTATCAAGTGACACAGAAGCGTATTTTCAACTTCAGTTCTTTTGCAATTTCAATTATCATTAACTACTGTTCCTTGTCCTATCAGACCTGTTTAGATAATTACCACCTTGGTGGAATTGGTTTGATATAAATTTGAAAAAAAAAATGGATTACTTAAAACTACTATTTACAACTATTATATACACCTAACCTACTATATACAAATTGCTTATCAAAGCATGTTATGATGTATTGTATTTTTGCACAAACCTAGTCTTAATGTCAACAATTATGAAATCTAATTTAGGAACGCTCGCCTCTAGATGGAGATCGTAAATTCTTGTATCGAAAGGACGATCAAGTACCATCCTCAGCACTCTATTCTGAGCGACCTGGATTTTGTTCCTGTGAGTCTGTGCACATGATTCCCACACCGGAGCTGCGTATACCATTCTATAATTACAATGCGAGCTGTTCAAAAGAATCGGCTCCCCTTAGTGAGCTGGACGGGTCTGATCCGCTCAGCCCGATGAGCTGTTTTTCTCACCTTTAGTTCCCAATGCGTAATAAAACGTTTCATCTTATTTCACGATCGCCTTGTACCGAAAACCACAATAAACACACTCTAACAAAATTTCCTTTTCGTCTTTCCTTCAACAGGTTTCCACATGACGCCGAAGCTGAGCAAAATGTTCCCCGAGTCCTGCCTGCTGATCGTGGTGGGTGTCATCATCGGTGTGCTGTTGCGGTTTGCCACCAACCTGCACGTGTCCCCGCTGACGCCAAACACGTTCTTCTTCTACATGTTGCCACCCATTATTCTCGATGCGGGATACTTTATGCCAAATCGGATGTTCTTCGACAACATCGGTACTATCCTACTAATGGCTGTGATCGGTACAATATTTAACATTTCTACAATTGGTAAGTGGTTTCGATGGTTTAGAAGCAAAGTCCTCGATTGATTGGTTCGTTCGATCTCAAAACTAGGTTTTTCGTTGTGGGCGTGTGGACTGACCGGCATTTTCGGAGTGGATCTGCCATTTTTGCACGTATTCCTGTTCTCATCGCTGATTTCCGCTGTCGACCCGGTGGCGGTGCTGGCAGTGTTTGAGGAAATTCACGTCAACGAAGTACTGTACATCGTCGTGTTTGGCGAATCGTTACTAAACGATGCTGTCACTGTAAGTTGAGACCGTCAATCAATATCATTCATTATAGGCACGGCGAGCGAGTGGTGAGCAGAGTTAATCATCCAGTCAGTCAGTCAACTTGCAGTACAGCAGGTGGATGGGTTGTGTTGATTGGCAATCCAGAGTGGGATTGTGTATGATGATGCTGGATGCAGTTAAGGATTTGGGTATTCTTTTAGATACGAGATTTACTTTCACAGAGCATGTAGCATCAAGATTACTGGGTTTTACTTTTCGTGCCGCAAAACAATTCTCAGATATTCACTGCTTAAAGACCCTGTATTGTTCTATGGTTCTCTGTGGTACTTGGCTAGTTCATCTCATGTACATCCGAGCAGTTCATAGAACCTTCGTGACGTTTATCACTACCTAAAGCTCCACGTTGCCGAAAGCATTTCCAGGCGGTGGTGTGTTATACTGCAATTCTAGATAGTGCTGGAATTAAGGCGTAACATGTTTTGTAAACAATGATTTTCTATCGACGATTTCTAGGAACTCAAGGCACGCTCATGCAAACCAACATAACCATCGGGTAGGGGAAGTCTTCCTTTGCGTTGGCGATCCTTAACTTTCTAGAAATCATCGAAAGAAGTTATTGTTTACAAAAACTGCTACGCCATAATTCCAGCTCTAATTAGAATTAACCATTTTGTCAAGTTTCTGCATTTATTTTCTATCAGATGTTACTGCTGTTGTTTGCGCTGAAAGCTATCGGAAACTAAGCATCATCTGTTTCCGTTAATTGTTTACAGAGGACGCACAGCAAAACATGTCGGTACCTCTATATGTGCATATAGATTAGCATCCGAAGTTCCTTCTTTTTTACATATTCTGCACAAAAAATACCTCGTCCCTGACATGATTTCTCGCCGTTTTCTATGAATGGGGCCTAGTATCTTTTGTGCAGAATATGTAAAAAAGGAACGGCTACAGATGTTAATCGGAATGCATATATAGAGATACCAGACATGTCTTGCAGTATCAGGTACTCTATTTTATTATCTGTGACAGGGAAATCACAAGTCCATTGTTTTCAAAATACATGGCATGTTGAAAGATTGAGCTCGTGAGAGAGAATTTTCTCTCTCATTTGAGAAATTATTGGCTCTCTGCCAGTCTCCAAATGTAAAAAATGTATGGGAAAACCCCTTTTTTATTTAATTGTAGCTTGGAAAAAAGGGAACGGCAAAGTCCATGAATTATTTCTTTAGGTTGTCGTCAAATTTTTATATGGGTAATGTGACAGCGCCATCTGTGTGAAAAATTGCTTTAACTCAATGGTTCACTCTTTTTACCCTAAAGAGCCAGAATTTATATAGAGACACCATGCCAATATTAGAACAACCGATTATCGCTCAAAGTAATCGGAAAAGTCATTCCAATCGAGCAGAAGACCTGTCAAATGGATAAAATGTAGTGTCTTTATAAATTCACGCTTTTTATTTAACCCAACTATTGTGTTGCTCCTCTCGTCATGACCAACGTAGTCAGCTCAAAGAGAAAAGCAGTAGCGTGATGTTTCGTACTGTACCAGCATTGTTGACGGTTACTCCCACCTTGAGTTGTTACATTCAAAATGCTAGAAATATTCCACAGCCGCAGACAGTATATGAACAAGTCGCCCTCTTTTGCCTGTGGATTTGAAGAAAAACTTCAAGTACCTGTCGTGTCCGGGCACGCTTTCAATTTGCCAGTCGAGAATCTCGGCCATGGTGACTGCTGATACGCTGGATCCTGTCCACACCGTCTCGGAGTGCAACTTGAATTCGATGTGAAAATTCAAAACCAACTGTTAGCCTTGAAAAAGGCTGTTTGTTGAACACGCTGGATCGTTGCGCGGTACTACTCGCGGTTACTGCTGCTGCTGGAAGGCCTCCTCTCGCTGATTCGATGCGCGACACTGCTCGCGGTTACTGCTGGAAGGCGCTCTCTCGCAACCGATGGTTCACCGCTCCGTTTCACGGCAACGGGTCGTGGTCTTGCTGCCGTTTGCTCTCTCTCTCTCTCTCTGTTCGATGTGCGACACTACTCGCGGTTATTGCTGCTGCTGGAAGGCGTCCTCTCGCTGATTTGATGCGCGGCACTGCTCGCGGTTATTGCTGCTATTGGATGCTACTCTATTCACATCAGTTGTATGAATGCCTAATGCGCGACACGGGTCGCGCTTTTATATGATACGTGTGCCCGCGGTTTTTCGTTCCCCCGCGTTATAGGCGATCCTCATGGGTTGACTAGTAACCGTTTTTCTATTACATCTAGTTATCCATGAGAAATGTTCGCGAGTCATAATGACTTTTTGCAAACTTGTCTATCGCTGGGTATCATTTATTTACTATTTTTTTTTTCTCTCAATAATGAAGGGTTAGTTTATTTGTTTTGTCTTTATTTTAAATCATTTATTTTATTTTATTTTTAACTCAACTCTATCTACTACAATCCATCTTACCTCTACTCTTCACTCATAAATGTAATATAAAATCATGTCTTTTAATTTATCCGGGATTCTAGTTTGCCGTCTAGGTCGTGATTCCGTCAAGCTTCTGCTGTCAGATTGGCTCTGCTGTCCTCTTCCATTTGATGGTTCACCATCTGCTGATGGTCCTATGTTGTCCAAATCATTATCTTGGTCTTGAGTGTGTTCATTAGAAGGCTCTTCATACTCCTCGATAGCTCTTTTGGCATCTCCTACGTTCCTCGTATACAGGACCCCACGGTTGCTCCTGACGATCAATTTAGCTCCATCTCTAGCTACTATCGTAAACTTTTCAGAACCGAATGTTGGATCTGATTTTATTCGCCTAGATTGTGTTAAGACTACCTTATCTCCAACGGTAAGATTTGAATCCTTGGCACGTCTTTGACCATCAGCGTACTTTTTGCTTTCAAACTTAGAAAAAGCGTCCTTCTCTCTAATATCTTCTCGATCCAGTTCCATAGAAGCATCAGCTCTCCATAAGCAAGGAAAAGTTCCTCTGAATTTCCAGCCGAGAAGTAGCTCAAATGGCGTCACTCCAAGTCGTGTGAGTGGTCGTACTTTATTATGTATGTGAACATACTTGTTAAGAGCTGTCTTCCAATTTATATTATCCAACTTGGAGGCCGCCAGGGCCTTTTTTATTCCCTCATTTTGCCTTTCGACAGCTCCGTTTGTCTGTGGGCTTAGTGGAATGGACTTACGAATTTTTACGCCTTTGTTCTCCCAGGTTTTCACAAATTTGTCGCTTTGAAACGGGGGACCATTGTCACTTTGCATAGCCAACGGGTAACCCCATACATCAAAGATTGTATTGAGTGCTTTGATAGTTGAATCCGCATCCATATTTCTCATCTCGATGACATGAAGGTAACGCGAGTAAGTGTCAACCACTACAAGAAACTCTCCAAATCCGAACTCCTTATCAGTAAAAAAATCAATCTGTAGTATCTCCCATGGACCATGCGGAAACTCTCTGCTTGTTAGAGGAATCGGAGGATTCTTCTTTGAAAGCAAAAGACAGGTTTCACAGCGTTTTATATATGATTCCGCTGATGTGCTCATCCCTGGCCACCAGAAATGTTCTCGCAAAATCCTTTTTGTTGATCCAATTCCCATGTGACCCTGATGAGCTGATTGGACGGCTTTTTGCCTTAAAGCTTCAGGAAGGACAATCTGGTCATTTTTGAAAACCAAGCTTCCGAAAATACTAAGCACCTTTGCTTGCGATTCGTACCTGCATGAATGGATTTTAATCATAAATTAACATACATTAAATTTATCACAGTACTTTGTTATTTGTTTTCTACCTTCGTAAGCCATCCTCCCAGTGACCCGTTCTGATCGCCATCCTTACTTTCGCTAACTCGTCGTCGATTTCCGAGTGGTTCTCTATCTCGTTCCAAGATATTTCCATTGCTCCAGTGTCAAGAAAATAAAGCAAATGTTTGTCATTGCCTTCATCATCAAACGGTTCCGCTGGCTTGGTCTTTTCAACCAATCTGGATAAAGCATCTGCAACATTCGATTCTCCTGGTACCCTGCTGACACTGAAGTGATATGGCTGAAGTCTTAAAGCCCATGATTCAGCTCGAGTTACTGATCTTTTTCCGATTCATGTGAATCCCAAGAGTGCCCGTACTTCATCCACAACATAGAACTTCTCAATCGTTACTGGCCTTTCTTTAGATATGAATAACTCAGCCGAAAAATTTGCAATAACGTTGATCTGCCCATTCATAGCATATGCTTTTAAGGGTTTATCAGTGGAGGATCGCAAAGTAAAAAGTTTAGATGAAGCATCTTTGTCAGCCAACATTTTGTCAAAGGATATTTTTGTTATGGTGTTAACTTGGGCACCGGAATCTATAAAAAATTTGACTTTCACTCCAGCAACTTTTCCTTCAATAAAAGCATTGTTCTCGTCCGGAATTATATGATTTCTCAATGGTTGAACCAGAGGATGTACACTATTGATACTCTGGAAGTTTGTTTGAGCGACTTGTGGTTTCTGCGGTTGCTGTAATATATTTAATATGAATCAGTCAATTTTGTTTCCATTACATTTTATTATGATCAGTATTATTTTAATTATCTTATAAATATTTTTTTTTTCTTTTTTTTTTTTTTGCCAATCTTAGAAATTAATGAAAAGAAAGTGTATAGAAAATTACTCAGGAACTTCAGCATGTTCACGTACCTTGACGTCAAACTCATGATCAGTCGGCGCAATTTCAATCGCCGCAATCTTCCTCTCAACTTCTGGTTCCTCTTGGTCCGCAAATCGCTTTAGCGCCCTGGCTTGATATTGTGGATTTCTCGGCTGATTGGATGAACAAACGCGCGCAATGTGGCCCAAACGTCCGCAAATTCTGCATTCCTTCTGCATAGCTGAACATTCAGACGAGCGATGATAAATGCTTCCACATCTCCAACAATTGGCAGTGTTTTGATAACGTGAGTTCCCTCTGAATCCTCTTCCTCCTCTTCCACCTCGATTACCTCGTTGAGCTCCTCT